TCTAACAGACAAAAACATCAAATTACTTATTTATACTGGTTAATCTAACAGACAAAAACATCAAATTACTTATGTATACTGGTTAATCTAACAGACAAAAACATCAAATTACTTAAAATGATGCAATATGTTGACCCCACTGCTAGGGAACAGCATGAAAACAACTCAGATTTAAAAATGTTGAATTCAAGCACTAACCTTTCGCACATATACAAATATAGTAATTTAATGAATAAAACGTTTTTGTCGCTGTTTATTCAGAAAAAGAATCTCCGCTGAATTTCAAACCAGTGGTCAGCAGTCCACATCTTCAAGTTTTTGAAAATGGGTCGCTGTCCATTCATAATGCCAGAGAGAGTGACGTAGGCTCCTACCTGTGTCAAGCAACCAATGGAATTGGACAAGGCCTTAGCAAGGTTATTAAACTACATGTAAAAAGTACGTGGTGTTATTTTTTACGAAAATTGAAATTCTGTTGTTCCCTTGCTAAAATTGAAATTTAATTTAAAACGTTTTGAGATAACGTCTGAAAGTGCCTGAATACATTCGTAAGTTTTTGAGCTTATTAAGTTCTCAGTATAAAAACTGCCTTTTCCTGCTTTATACATAACATAAAATATGTTAAACAACCAAAATTAAACTACTTTCATAAATATATCTTAAAAGTCAGTCACGTACATTTCTTTTGATGCATTTTAATTTCTCAGTTTTACTGTACAATAAATTAAAAAACAAAACATACAATTATTCTTTGCGTAAGATGATTCACATGTTTGATCGTTAACGTGGCCCCTTCCATTATATTCTGTCATATGTGTTGGACGAAGGAACAGTAACATACGACAGGAATTTAATTTATTTCTCGGTAAAAAGGTAATATCTATGTTCATTATATCACAGTCCAATCAAGATAGTGTCAGCACGAGAAAATTTATATGATGACCATTCTCTCAGCATATGCGCAACTTAGATAGTTTCTTGAAATATCGATCGAGTTTTAATGTTCTACTGTAGTTTTAAAACGTTGCACCAACTTCGATTCAATATAATTTAAACATATTACAGTTGCTGCTAACTTTGATACAAAGTTCATGGCTGAAATGGTTGAGAAAGGACATAATGTCAAATTAAAGTGTCATGCTCGAGGAGATCAACCTATCATGGTCATCTGGTTAAAAGAAAAACAAAACATCAACCTGCAGGAGGACCCAAGGTTAGTGCAGCAGGCTTTTACTTTCTTTAAAACGGGTTAAGTATTTGTTCACAGAAACTTTTAAAGTACATTCATAATAAACACTTGATATTTGTTAACTACAGAAGTTCAGTAACAGGAGACCCTAAGGTTTAGCTAAACGCGAAAGTAGCAAGGCGATTAAAGAATCTTCACTTCAGGTGCTAGTTTTGATTGTTGTACATGGCTTGATGGTGACTTTTTCTAAAGGAACAACTGGCTGTATTTATATTAATTACCACGGAGGAAATTTATAGCATACAATATCTCTATTTTTTAATATTCTGACAACTGGGAGCCCCCAGTGGTACAACGGTATGTCTGCGGACTCACAATGCTAGAAATCGAGTTTCGATACCCGTGGTTGACAGAGCATATATAGCTCATTGTGTAACTTTGTGCTTTACTTTAAACAGCTGGGAACAGAGGCTTTGTAATAAAAACGTGACGTTTTAGTTTCTCAGTTATTACGATTACCTTGCAGATTTCATGAGATATTTCTTGGTGTTATTTTTATCACGTAATATAATTTCAAGCTGTATTTCATCTCAATGAAACCTATGCTTGTTTTTGTATAGTTTCAAATTTCTCTTTATCTTGTTAATGCCGGATATGAACTAGTGGCGATAGTGCTGCCTTCTAGTTTTTAAATATTATATTAACACATTGCCACTGGATATCTTCATGAATAATTACATGAAGTCTTTTTGATAAACAATCTTTCTAACTTATAAATCGTGCTATTTAACAGGAATGGTATACAGCGGATTTACTTCATTTTTACAGTTGTTTTTCAATGAAGTATTTTGTGTTCTTTACTATTATTGGCAGTGGAAAGTACTGTAGGAACCTTCGTGCGTCTTATATACCAGCATACTTGTAATTCAGTTTTATGCTTTTAATACGTGTAATTTTTTTTTTATGTCTTAGATACAAGCTGTTAGAACCAGTGATGTCCTCTGGTGTTACTTCTGAGCTTCTTATCCGCCAAGCTGATAGACGAGACTCTGCCCTTTTCACTTGCATCGCTTCCAACGCCTATGGACAGGACGACACTAATATTCAGCTGATAGTACAAGGTTGTTGAGTTCAAGCTTTTTGTCTGTAAAGATTTTCTGAAACGTGCTTTCTTGAATAACAACGTTTATGATGCATAGCGCTGCTTTACACGTTAGATTCATTCGTATTATTTAGTACTATATCCAATCTTGCTGTAACCCTCATATCTTTTGTTGTTGTATACAAATCTCAATTATCTCATTTAATATAGTGTTTATTACCAATTTCAGAACCCCCTGATTCGCCTCAGAACCTACAAGTCTCCGATCGGTCAAGCCGCACTCTTACACTCAGATGGTCAGCATCATATAGCGGCAACAGTATTGTCACGGAATACTTAGTTCAGTATAAACACAAGTCTGGTAAGCCGATAAGCAGTGAGTTATAAGGAGAAAAACCTATAAATCCTGGTTGACTGCTTGGGTGCGAATGAAGAGGAGATAGATGAATAAATGCGATATGTGAAAGTTGATTGGCTGGCTGAGTGGGAGGTAGATGGGAGAGTGGATAATTGGGCAGGATGACTGTAAAACTTGTTTATTTTCTGGTGAGTTTCATGGGAATGGAACGTATATGGATTAATGGGTGAGTGAACAAGGTAACTGTAAACCCAGTTAACGTCTTTCATGAGTGGCAAGGGGAAGACAGGTAGATGGGTGAATGGGATGGGTTTCAAATTATTTAGCTCCCCAGGACGTGTTTCATGGGAAAAGACAGGCAGATAAGTGAATGAGATGGATTTGAGATTAGTTGGCTGCCTGGGACGAATTTCATTATAAAGGCAGGTAAATGGGAGAATGGGATGAATCTTATGAGAACGGAATGTAGATGAGTGAATGAGATGTGTTTGCGATTAGTCGGCTACTTGGAATGAGCTTCATCAGAAAGGCAGGTAAATAGGAGAATGGAATGGATTTTAGGAGTGTAGGTGAGTAAATGGAATGGGTTTGAGATTAGTTGGCTGCCTGAAATGAGCATCATCGGAAAGGCAGGTAAATGGGTGAATGAGAAGAGTTTAAGACTTACTGGTTTCAGAGCTAGGAAGGTTTAATAAGTGAATGAAGAGCTAGAAGAGTCTAAGACTAACTGGTATTCAAGGCTAGGAATGTTTAATAAGTGAATGGAGAGTTAGAAGAGTCTAAGACTAACTGGTATTCAAGGCTAGGATAGGTTTAATAAGTGAATGGAGAGCGTGGAAGAGTCTAAGACTAACTGGTATTCAAGGCTAGGAAGGTTTAATAAGTGAATGGAGAGCTAGAAGAGTCTAAGACTAACAGGTATTCAGAGCTAGAATAGGTTTAATAAGTGAATGGAGAGCGAGAAGAGTCTAAGACTAACTGGTATTCAAGGCTAGGAAGGTTTAATAAGTGAATGGAGAGCTAGAAGAGTCTAAGACTAACAGGTATTCAGAGCTAGAATAGGTTTAATAAGTGAATGGAGAGCGAGAAGAGTCTAAGACTAACTGGTATTCAAGGCTAGGATAGGTTTAATAAGTGAATGGAGAGCGTGAAGAGTCTAAGACTAACTGGTATTCAAGGCTAGGAAGGTTTAATAAGGGAATGGAGAGCTAGAAGAGTCTAAGACTAACAGGTATTCAGAGCTAGA